CTCCACTTTTCAATCTGTATGTAGAAGGGATCGTTCAGGATGCTGGACTTTATGAGAGGAATGTGGCATCAGGGTTGGAGGAAGACTTAACAACCTGCATTATGCAGATGACACAACCTCGACTGCTGAACCTGAGGAGGACCTGAAGCATTTGCTGCAGAAGGTCAAGGTCTATAGTCTTCAATAGAATTGAAACTCAACATCAAGAAGATAAAGATTCTAATCACTGGGCCATCTGGTAGCACAATGATAGATGGTGAAGAGATTGAGATTGTTAACCATTTCAGCTTGTTTGGCTCCACAATCACTCCTCTTGGGAACAGCAATCAGGAAATCAAAAGGTGAATTACATTAGGGAAATCTGCTGTCAGGAACCTCTCCAAAGTGCTAAAGAGCAAGAATGTCAGACTAGAGACTAAGGTGCACCTGATTCAGACCATGGTTTTCCCAATTAATTGCAATGCATTGGCGTTCTGGACTAAGAGTGACTGAGGGTGACAGAAGAAGAATCAATGCCTTTGAGTTGTGTTGTTGGAGAAGAGTACTGAACATACTATGGACTGCCAGGAGAACAAACAGGTGAAGCCAGGCTACTCCTTGGAGGCTAGGATTTTGAAGCTTCATCCCACATGCTTTGGGCACGTGGCCAGGAGGACCAGTCCTTGGAGGAGGACATCAAACTGGAAGGGTAGAGGGGCAGTGCAGGAGAGGAAGACCTCAGATGAGATGTATTGATGCAGTAACTGGGGCAATGGAGGTAGACGTGTTGGAGACAGTGAGATTGGCTCAGGATAGTGCAGAGTTCAGAGGTATTGTTGTCCATAGGGTCGCTCTGAATTGCAGGCAATTCGATGACACATAACAACAAGTCTTACGATTTTAAAGTGGTTTTCAGTGTGGTTACAACTATGAGCAAACTTGTTCGTCCTAGAGAGGGTGAAATCAGGCTGCTCCTTGGAGGCAAAGATTCTGAAGCTCTGTCTGACATACTTTGGGCATGTTTCAAGGTGGGAACAGTCCTTGGAGAGGGACATTATGCTTGGGAGGGTAGAGGGACAGTGCAGGAGGGGAAGACCTTCAAGGAAATGGATTAATTAAGTGACTGGGGTAACGGGTAGGTGTGTCAGAGATGGTGAGGTTGGCTCAGGATAGAGCAGGCTTCAGAGCTGCTTGTACATAAGGTCACTATGAGTCACAGGTGACTCGACAGCACATAACAACAGCAACTGCTACTACTATTACTAACTATGAATGTTGACATAGTAGTTAAGCGCTGAAATCCTAGCTGCAAAATTGGAAGTTTGAACCCACCAGCCACCATCCAGGAGAAAGATATGGTGTATCTTCTCCTCCAGAGGTTACCCCATGGGCAGTCTTTCTCTTCTGTCCTATTGGACCTTGAGTCCCGATAAACTCAACAGTAACAAGTTTGCTTGCTTTAAGTGGTTTAATATATTTAGAAGGTCACACAGTTGTCCCCCCTCTCTAATTTCAGAGCATTTTTATCACCCCAAGAAGAACCCATCCCACTAGCCCTCACTCCCTCTCCCTCTGAAACCATTAATTAATTCCCTGGCAACCATTAATCTACTTTCTGTTTCCATGGATTTGTGTAGTCTGGATATTTCATGTAAATGTGTCCGTGTATCACATAGTGGTTTTGACTGACTCTTCCCCTTAGCCTCGTATTTCAGAGTTCATCTGTATTATTGTACATATTACAGTACTTCATTCTTTATGGCCAAATAATATTCCACCATCGAGGTATACTGCATTTTTTTATTTTTCTAATCTCATTTGATGGAATTTGGGTTCTTCCCACTTTGAAGCTATTACGAATAATGCTGTCCTGAGCTTTTCTGCACACACGTTCTGTGGACATTTGTTTCTTTTCTCTTTGATATCACATGAGAGGTGAAATGGCTGGGTCATGCGGCCATTCTAATTTTTCAGTCTTGAAGAAATGCCAAAGTGTTTTCCTCAGACCATTTTGGAAGGATTGTTGTTTCAATTTGACTTTGGCATTAGCTGAAGAAAAGGTCCTTGGGAGAGTCAGGAAAGAAGGAGATTGGTCAGACACAGTGGGGAGTGAGTGATAGTCACATACCTGAAGCCTCACCTCGGGGATCCCTCTTCCTCACAGAGAACCGCTGGGCCAGCCCATCTTGAAGCCTTTTCTCCCAAGGGCTTCTCATCCCTCTTCACCATCTTTCTTTGTGGGCCATACTCTCTGTAATCCCTCTGCTTTGAAACACTGCATGATGCTGGGAAGGGTGGAGGGTCAGTGACCCTCAACCAGGTGGATTGACATGGTGACTGCTGCAATGGGCTCTGGTGTGTCAGGAAGTGTGAGGACGGCACAGGATAGGACAGGCTTCAGATCTTTTGTTCATACAGTCGCTGTGAATCTTACTAGACTTGACGTCTCCAATAGCATCAAGTCGAGTACGTCTCTCATAGCAATGTTATGAACCAAAGATCTGAACTCTGTTCTATGCTGCACCGTCCTCACAGGCCCTGACACACCAGAGCCCTTTGCAGCAGTCACCTTGTCAAGTGTGAGGACGTCGCAGGACAGGACAGCGTTCAGATCTGCTGTACATCGAGTGACTGTGGCTTGTACTCGGCTCGATGGCATCAAACAACACCCACCACCCTGTGTTCTGCTCCACAAATGAAGGCATTTGAGACAGAGTTTACCCAAAACTGTCTCTACCGTTTCATCTCTCTGGTAATCTAGAAACGTTCTGAGCCAAAGAAGGGTGTCATCACTGAGTCTTCAGGGAAAGAAAACATGTTCGCTTTGTTAGGGAGGGTCAGGTGACGAGTGAGGAAAGAATGTGTTCCTGAGTGAACACAGGGATGCTTCCGAGCCCCTCTGAGGCTCCGCGGCTTGATCTTTGAGATGCATTTAGAACTGCCCTCCTGGTAAATAATGCCAGGTTCTGAGTGCATCTGTCAGGGTATTCAGGAAGTTTTCTTTCTGTTCCCTGCGCTCTGTCCTCAGCAGGTGTGAACAGCTTATCCAGGTGCTGTGATGACATGTTTTTAATACCCTTTGCACACCCCTCTTGTCTCTCTCTGTTTCTCTCTCTCCTTCCACCTTCTGTCCTCTTTCTGTTTGTTGTCACTCTTCCCTCAGCTCCTGCCCCGAACAGAGCCTGAGATAGAGACTCAGAGAGCACTTCCCATCCACCCGGAGACCCAGGGAGCTCCCGCTGAGGCAGCCTGGGCCAAATCCTCTTAGCACAGATCATATTATGCCCTGGGTCATTTTGCAGCTCAGAGTCCCAGCTCCGAGTGGGACACACACAGGACACTGGGTCCCTGCAGGCTGTTGGCGTGGCATGGTTACACCTACCTGCTCCCCTCGGCTTCAGTTTCCTCCCCCAGGAGATGCGAGCCAGAGAGGAAAGCTTACAGTTACATTGGGGTTTGAAGTCATCTTGTGGGCTCAGCTTGCAGGACACTAGACCCTGGGCCTGGCACTGGGCCTGGGCCAGGCTGTGGGCTTGAGCTGGGCACATGGCAGGCCAAAGGGCACACACACTCACTGAGAGTGACTCGGGCGGACAGGACGTGAGGTCACATGACTGTAAATGATCTTCTGACTGACAGAACTGATCTTCCAGGCTGGAGGGTTGAAGGGTTTTCATGTTACAGCAAATTTTTTTTAAGTAACTTTACAAATAGCAACAGAACGCCAGAGTCGATACGCAGAATTTTTTTTTTACTCAGAATTTTTTAATGTGTTTTTTAATTAATTTTAATGAAAGTTTACAGAGACTGACGGTTTCCAGTCATTCATTGTGCACTTTTCTCCCTGCCCACCCCCTCCCTCTCAATTCACTCTTCTCCTTGAGAACTAGAAGAAAAACTCTTTCATTGTTGTGCAATCCCTCCCCCCAAGTCCACGCCACATGCAGCCTTCATTCTGGACTCCTGTCATGACAATAATACCCAATCATAGATCCCTTTTAAACAGTTTTCTCCCTCATCTGTTTCAATGCAGTATACATCATTCCTCCTCTCCTTCTCTGTCTTCCCTCAACCCTGATGTCAGTCCCGTTTTACAACAGTGACCCTATGCAATATTTGTCCTTTTGTGACTGAGATAGTTCACTCAGTATAATGTCCTCCAGGGTCATTCATTTTGAAATATTGCATGAGTTCCTTGTTTTTCATTGCAGCATAGTATTCCTTTGTGTGAATATACCACAGCTTCTCTATCCATTCATTTGTTAATGGACACTTGGGTTGTTTCCAGCTCTTTGCTATTGCATACAAAGCTGCAACAAATGAATGGATAGAGAAGCTGTGATATAGTCACATAATGGAATATTATGCTGCATTGAAAAACAAGGAACTCATATTATACGAAATGGGTGACCCTGAAGGACATATGCTGAGTGAAGTATCTCGGTCACAAAAGGACAAATATTGCATAGGGCCACTGTTGTAAAACGGGACTGACATCGAGGTTGAGGGAAGACAGAGAAGGAGGGGTGGAATGACGTATACTGCATTGAAACAGATGAGGGAGAGAACTGTTTATAAAAGGGATATGTGATTGGGTATTATTGTCATGACAGGAGTCTAGAATGAAGGCTGCACAGTGGAGTGGACTTGGGAGGGAGGGAGGGATTGCATAACAGTGAAAGTTTTTCTTTTTCTTTCAAAGAGAAGAGTGAATTGGGGGGAAGGGTGGATAGGGAGAAAAGTGCAACAATGAATGACTGGAAACCGTCAGTGTCTGTAAACTTTCATTAAAATTCATTTAAGAGGGAAAAAAAAGATTAAAAAGAAAAGAACCGGTTCTCTGTCCTGGCTGCTCGGGTGGCCGCATTCCTGTTCCTGGGCGGTGTTCCTGCACCCCTCATGCTCTCTTGGCCCAGGCAGGGGACAGTTCCTCCGGTGTGTCTGGGAGGCGGACCCTCCCAGTTCAGACAGTGTCGGCTTGGCCGTGCTGACCCCTGACCTGCCTGCTCTCTCGTTTCCAGCTGTCAGGAATGACAGGAACAAGAAGAAGAAGGAGCCTTCGAAGCAGGAAAGCCCGGAAAGCTACGAGATGACAGCGGAGCTGGACGACCTCACAGAGACCATCCGCAAAGCCCACCAGGAAACCTTCCCCTCGCTCTGCCAGCTGGGCAAATACACCACGGTAAGAGATGCCGCCCCCGGGGCAATACGGGGAGTGAGGACACACACACGCACACGCGTGCTCCACCCACCTCAGCACACACCAGCCCAGGGCACCTGAGACGTGGCCCACACACGTACATGTACACACACACACACACACACGTGTGCACTCCACCCAGCTCAGCACCCACCAGCCCAGGACACCTGAGTCGTGGCACGCACACACACACACACACACACACACACACAGACACACGTGCGCACTCCACCCACCTCAGCACCCACCAGCCCGGGGCACCTGAGACGTGGCGCACGCACACACACGTGCGTGCTCCACCCACCTCAGCACACACCAGCCCAGGGCACCTGAGACGTGGCCCACACACGTACATGTACACACACACACACACGTGCGCACTCCACCCAGCTCAGCACCCACCAGCCCAGGACACCTGAGTCGTGGCACGCACACACACACACACACACACAGACACACGTGCGCACTCCACCCACCTCAGCACCCACCAGCCCGGGGCACCTGAGACGTGGCCCCCTCCCATGCGTGGCGGCCTTCACAGTTAATCAAATAAGTACAGAGCTTACCTTTCGTGAAGTCACACCTTCACACAGTCACTTCAGAAACGCTCACTGGGCAGCTGCTATGCCCTAGCCCGTATGTGTGGTGTGAAAACTGAACGCATGCGCTTGCCTGCCACCCCCGAAGGTTGGCACTTTGGTCCCCACCCAAGGGTATCTCCCATGGAAAACCAGGTGACAGTGTGTTGTATAAAATGAGCCTCCAGACCCCCTGCTGGGTACAGCTGGAGTCTGGCACGCGCGGGGTTCCCTGCTGTGAGAGGAAGTGGACCCCCGTGGCTGCTGGTTCTGTGCAAGGAGCTGGCAGCATTGATGAGTAGGAGAGGGTCACTGTGCTGAGGAATGTGTGGTCCAGTGGAGGATTCCAGAAGGGTTATCAGGTGGCTTGGGCCGTGGTAGACACCTGTCCAGCACCCTAGAGGCGACTCAGAGAGAGTAAAGGATCAATAGTTTTAAAACGCTAATCTAATGGGGAGCTCTGGTGGCCTAGTGGCAAGAAGCTGCACTGCACGCAGTTCGAGGCCACCAGCTGCTCTGTGGAAAAAGGATAAGCAGTCTTTTCCCATGTGATTAACTGCCTCTGAAAACCCGCTGGAGGGTCAGCTAAGAGTCCGTTCCAACTCTACAGCACAACAATAATAATCTGGCATTAAGAGTCACAGAGATAGGGGAGCTCTGGTGGCCTAGTGGCAAGGAGCTGCAACTACAATCCCAGAGGCGAACGGTTCGAATCCACCAGATGCTCTGCCGGGGAAGGAGGGACAACCTCCTCCTGTACCAGTCAGATCTGATTTGACAGTACACGCACACAAAAATAATAAAATAAAATAAAAAAGAGTCACAGAGATTTCATTAAGGTTCCCCTGGGCAGGTGTCTGGTAATGGGAGCCTCAGTCTGTAAAAAGCCATTATAGGTGTGGCCCTGCCACCCCAGAAAGGGAAGTAGTCCCCCTTGTTTTCCAGCATTCTACTAGGAGTGATTTTAAGTGACGTTCAGGATAAAGAGAGACACTTGAGCCCACTGCTGCAGTCACGGTGTCAGACCTTCTCTTTGAGTCTTCCTCACCTTTGCTGACCCTTCATTTTTCCAAACTTGATGTCCAGCAAACAGCCTCTCCTAACAACAGGCCCAAAGTATGTGAGATGCAGCTTTATCATCCTTGCTTCCAAGGAGAATCCTGGTTACACTTTCTCCAAGGTAGACTTGTTTGTTCTTTTGTCAGTCCATGAGATGTAAGTCATTGCGAATCCTTTCTGTAATTGGGTGGTGGTGGTGGTGGTGGTGGTGGTTGTGGTTGTTGTGGTTGTGGATGAACGTGTTGGAACTGACCCACAGCTGACCCTCCAGCAGGTTTTCAGAGGCAGTAAATCGCATGGGAGGAAATGGCCCATCTTTCTCGCACCGAGCAACTAGTGGATTTGAACCATGTGCCTTTGGATTGGCAGCGTAACTCCTTATCACTAAAGCCAGCAGCTAAAAAAAGCAGCAACCATAAAACCTTCCCTGTGAGCACTGAGGGGAGCGATTTTTCTAAGAAAGTTTTTTTGAGCTAGGCAGTTACTTCTGCTGTGAGAAGCCTTTCTGCGAACTTCACCAATGTGGCACCCCTGTCAGATGCCTTGGGAATAAGTGGGCAGAGAGGAATGCAAAAGGCAGCCAGCAACCCACCTCCAGAGCTCAGAAAAAATAGCTTCTTTTCTTCCCTAATTAGCTGGATTTTCGTTGAGTCCAAGGATGGGTGTGACCCAGTGAGGCTCACCTGCACCCTTCAGAGGTCATCTGCGTAGGAAAGTTCCTACCAATTGACCCCCCTCCTCCAAAACCAGAGTGGGCCAGTTCGATGTGGCCGGGAGGAAAGCGAATATTTACAAATACCAATGAACCCTCCACACTAGAATCCAGGGCCCAGCAGAGGAAGCGTTCTGTGGGAGAATGTTTATTCTGTGTCCGAAGGATGCACTACACCAGCTCTGTCACTTTGTCACAAGGCCCTGAGACACACAGTTCTTGGCTGTGCTCCTGACGAATTACGTTGCAAGTGGATGCGGCATCTTATTGAAACTTCAGCATCTTTGTCTTTTATGACAACAGTTTTAACAGTAACCCACCAAGTCCCTGAGGGGTTAAATGATGAAGATTTCTCTTTCCTTGAACCCTGTTTGTAGTTTCTCACACAGAAGAAGTGCCCCAAATGGCCAGGTGTCCTCATCGGTGAGGACTATGTCGTCATTTTGTACAGCCACATTCTGGAAAACTCGGGGTGAGTGCAAAGTGGAGGTGTTTGCAGAAGGCTCAGGCTCAGGCTCAGCCTGGGCTGCCAGTCCCCAGCCGCATCTGTCCCCAGTCCCACTGTCCAGCCACGTTCAGCTCCGCGTCGCTCACAGGGCTACCTAACAGGGCTCACGCACAGGGCTCAGTGGGACATACACTCCCTTCCATCAGACCATGGATTCAAGCTATGGAGACGTTAGGAGCCTGTCACCAGCAGCTTTAGAAAAGGCTGGTGTCGGGATTTCATCCGCCAATTGTAGACTCACCGTTTTGTTTTCAAAAACGAGTCTTTAAGACCAGATAGCCGGAGACTCGGGAGAGTACATCAGTGCGGTTCACAGTCCCCACTCAGCCACCTTCACGTTTTCTAGCCCTTAAACCCTGACACCTTCAGCTTCAACGCCATTAAACACACATACCCACCCCCGCCCACATCCTCCAGGCCAGCTAACCCGACTGGGGGCGTGCTGTGTGCGGAATTAGGGTACAGAACAGTGTGTAACTGTCTCCCTTCCCAGTCTGTAGCTTTAGAGTGAAGTTTGGCTAGAAATCGAATGTTCTCCCACGTCTTGTGAATCTTCCGAAGCTTCTACTAAGTCACCTACATCCTCTTAACATTGTAACACAAAGTGTTCTCTTCTCACTGTGCGAAGGCTCGCGGGTGGCTGAGAGGGTAAGCAGTTGCCCTGCCAATGCAAAGGCAGGCAGTTCGAATCCACCAGCCCCTCTGAGGGGAAAGGGTGGGCCATCTCCTCCTGTGTCATTTATAGCTGCTTGAAAACCTGCTTAAAGGTCAGGTCTGAGTTAGCTGGTTCCAACTGTGACAATACAGAACGACAAAGTGACACCTGTGTGATGATAAGAGGTTGGAGAAGGGAAAGGCGTTCCTAGCAGAGGGTAAGGGCTTGAACATGGTCAGAAGTCCTGCAGTGACAGGGCGAGCTGGGAGGCGGGAGCTGAGTCTGAGGAGACAGGCTGAATGGTGTTGGCTTGCAAGGAGAGTTCTTTGCTAGCGTGAGGAACCTGACGCTTTAGCCAGAGACCCAGAGGCTCCTTCTAGGGAAAAGGAAAAAAATAAGCTCCTTCCTCAGCTCCTTGGTGCTGAGCAGGAAGATTTGGGCGCCTGTTCCAAGAAGACCCCCAGTTTTGAACGTTCCTCAAGAATGCAAGAAACTACCAATGGGCCCTCACAGCCACCCTGACTGCCCCCGAATTCTGGCTTCTCATGGACATCCTCTTAAACCCCCTCCATCCACACCTTTCACCCTTGCACTCAGCCTTGCACTTGACCAAGGTCCCGTGAGCTCTCAGCCTCCCAGAGAGCAAAGGGCTGCCATTGTCCAGAGAGGCCCCTTGGAGTTTATGAACCAGCCTGGTTCAGGGCACCCCTAAAACATAACCCCGGGAGATGCCTGCAATGTTGAGATGTTTCTAGCCAGACCCAGGGGGTTAGAAACACTCAGTGGGCTCTAGAAAGTCACTCGCCTCTCCCTTCCCCATGCCCATCGCTGACTTGGAAACCTCTGCAGCCAGGTCCTTAAGATAGTATCCAAATCGCAATCCTTCTGCGTAGTTTCAGGGCCGGGGCTGCAGCTGTCAGTTCTGGAAAGAATGCTGTGTGTGGGTTGGCTGCCTCTGGACTTTGTCCTTCCACTGGTGGGCACATGCCCTGCTGGATTCCTTCTAGAACCTGTGCTGTGGTCACACAAATGGACACGTGGTTGTGGACCTCACAGAGTCGCTGGCCTGGGGCACTGCCTTCGACATGGTGAAGGCGGCCTTTCTGCTGTTTCATGAGAGTGTCCAGAGATCTCCAGCCAGGAGGGGGCCCCCAGTGCCACAGGAGGCCTCAGGAAGGAGAAGGGGCACTGGAGCAAGGAGGTGGTGAGTCACCTCAACCTGCAGCCTTCTCTAGACAGATATGAAGTCTTCTATCACATAGCTCCTCTGGGCCTCAACTTCCTCATCTGCTAAATGGGATGTTAAAGCCTATCTCAAAGGGATGTTGGTGGTGGTGTTTGGGTGCCATCAATTTGGAGCCAACTCCTCACTGAGCCCCCAGCAGGTTTTCAGAAGCAGTAAATCACACGGGAGCAGACTGCCTATCTTTCTCCTGCAGAGCAGCTGGTGGATTCGAACCACATGCCTTT